GTGGAGACCGACTCTGTCACGAGGAGTCTAGTGTTGTGATGTGGAGACCCACTCTGTCGTGAGGGGAGTCTAGTGTTGCTTGACCTTTGGGCAGCTTCTCGACAAACAATTGTAGTGGAGATACCAACCAGAGAAATGCCAGCGTAAAAAGATTCTGCGCTAGGAGTAACTAGAAATACAGATGCTGGTGAGAGGATTGGGCAATCCAGAGAATAGCCACAGATGGAGGCTACTTAGTGGTAGAATGCCTGGAAATAGCAGTAGCAGGTCAAAGGCTGAGGTGGATGGATAGATGAGTTGTGCTAAGCATGATTTCACTTAATCCGTAGAACAACAGAGAGGGGGTTATTCTTGTTATTTTAGTGACAGAACCCAAGGTTGATGAGCTGAGTCATTTTGCCCATAGTCCACACAGCTTGAAGGAGTTTTGACATAGTGGCACACACCAGTAACCCCAGCATTTGGAAGGCAAAGCAGGAGATTTATGAGTTCCCAAGACAGTCTCATAAAATGAGAGAAAGAGCTGGTCCTGTCACCATGCTTTGGACTCTGAACCTATCAGTTCACGTTCTCGTCCATGTGTGTGTGTCTGTCTCCTCCCTGTCCCCTTCCCCCTCCCATCCTCCCCATTTACTCTAGCAGAAGTCTCAAGTTTACAGTCTGAGCAACTCAACTAAGCAAACATGTTTTCCTTGGCTTGAGCTTTGTTTTTGGAAATGTCAATTATTGTACAATTAATTCCATCTAAACATCCTGGATTCTAATTTCTCTCCAAAATAAAATTCCAAAGTTTGGCAACTTTTTGGCTCTAGTTCCCTGACAGAACTCATCTGGACCCAATTGTCTTGGCTTCTTTGGAGACATTTTCAGTTCCCTGTGTCCAGCAGACGCTCCTCTCCCACTCCTGTGGCCTGCCAGAACCCTGTGGACATTCTTGTGGGATTTGTTTTTCCCTTTGAAGGGAAGTTTTCCATCTTTTACATAGCAGTCACTGTTAGAAACTCCCATGCACTCATCACTCAGCTTCAACAGTTAGCTGGCTGCCCAGTGCTCCCTCTGCTTCTCTCTTCTCCAGAGTGCTGTAAACAAATGCTGCCTTCCCAACAGATAAGGCTTTGCTACCCAGTAACCCTGTTATTCAGTCTCATAGCATTAACTGTCATTCATTATACTTAATTCCTAGCTCACGTTCCCTTGCTCCACTTCCCAGTGGCTCTATCCCTATGCACACTTCAATTTAGGACTTTTGGGTGACAGTTTTTCTTTTTAAAAGATTTTTATCTGTATATTTTTGTTCTTGTTTTGCTTTTTCGTCCTTCCTGACTGTCCTGGGACTCACTGTGTAGTCCCACTGGCCTTTAAATCATGGTGATCCTCCTGCTTCACCATCCAAGTTATAGACATATGCTGCTACACCAAGCCCATTTTGCTTAAAAAAAAAAAAAAAGGAAAAGGAAAAAAAAAGTAAAAATGACAAGCCCAGTTGTCAAGATAAGGGAAAAGCAACAGAAAGTGGGAAGTAGATGTTGGATTTAATAACCTCAGAAATGTAAGCAGGAAGAGAAAGCAGCATGAAGCATGCATGGAGAGTAAGACACAGTAAAGGCCACAGAAATAACTGACGAGGTGCTGTTGGGGGGGTTAACCTATATTGGTTCATTCCCTTATCAGCAGGTTTGGGGATGTTTTAGCAGAGGCAGAGTGTTAGAAAACCCTGGCTAAGTCTGGTAGTGGTGAACACCTTTGATCCCAGCACTCAGGAGGCAGAGGCAGGCAGATATCTGAGTTAGATGCCAGCCTGGTCTACAGTGCGATTTCCAGGACGTTAGGGCTACACAGAAACCCCGTCTCAAAAAATAATAACTAATAATAATAATAAATAAATAAGCCCCTGGCTAAGGTTCTATGCTAGAGGACTAGAGAGATGGCTCAGTTAGCAGAATGCTTGTTGCACAAGAGTGAGGACCTGCATTCAAATCCCATGCACACAAGTCAAAATCCAGTGCACCAAGACATGGTGGTGCACAGCTTTAACCGCAGCACCTGGGAGGCAGAGACAGATGGATTGCTTCTGAGTTCAAGACCAGCCTAGTCTACAGAGTGAGTTCTAGTCCAGCCAAAGCTGCAGAGGGAGACTTTGTCTCAAACAAAACAACGTAAAAAGCAGTACAGCAACACGCATATAATTTCTTTGTGAAAGAGGCAGGGGCAAGAAGATCCTTGGGCCGGCTGGCCAGCTAATTGCTAATTGAAACTGAGCTTCAGGTTCAGTGAGAGACCTTCTCTGACAAAAGACAGAGGGGCTGGACAAATGATTCAGCAGTCAAGAGAACTCGCTGCTCCTGTGACCAGGCACATGGTAACTCACAGCTGTAACTCCAGTTCCGGAGGCAGTGCCCTGTATTCTGACCTCTGTGGGCACTTCATATGTGTAATGCACTCACATACGTGCATGAAAAACACTCATACATACAAAAATGAATCAATAATGAGTCTTTAAAAAAAACAAGCTAGAGAGCAATTGAGGAAGACACCCAACATCAGACTTTGGCCTTCACATACAGTGTGCACACACACAAAATAACAATTACATGGTAGCTAAGTACCAGAGCTATGGCTGAAAGCCTGTGCAGCCAGTACTCGTCAAGCCTCAGGCACAGACTCCACAGCCTGGTCTCCTGCTCTCCCAGCGGTGGTGGCTGAGATGCATAGGAGCAGGATTGCAGGCGTGGATGTCCTTGGCTGGCTTAGCAGCCCACGTGACACAGAGAAGCGCGGGTAATATTTCTTGCAAAATGCTGGCTGGGGACATGGTGTCCTAGACACCAGGTGTCCTGGACCAGTGTGAAGTTAACAGAGCTGAGTGCTGGAATTAAGTTGAGCAGCAGAGCCTTTGCCTAATATGCTCAAGGCCCTGGGTTCCATCCCCAGCACCAAAAACCAAGCAAACACTACTGTGCGTTTCCAAACTTGGTCATTTCTCTATGGAAGGAAATGTTTTATTAATTATTTTTCTTTGAACATTTTCTATTTAACCTAGGTATAGTAGTGCACACAGGAGATGGAAACAGGAGGTTCAGGAGTTCATTCATGGCACCAGTGAGTTTAGACTACCCTGTCTAAAAAAGAGAAACAGGAAAAAAAAAAAAAAAAGAGTCCTAGATCTTGCTGTGTAACCCAGACTGGCCTGAGTACTGGGGCTATATAGAGTATAGCTGCAGTATTGGCTAACATGAGTTTCAGATGTTTTAATCATAGTAATAATAATAATAATGAACTAGAAGTATAATTTGGTAGCGCATAGGTCCCTGAGTTCAATCACCAGCATAAAGCAAACAAAAAACAGAAGGAAAAGAATCAGCTGAGGGCAAAAGAATACAAATATCTCCTCAAGGAGAACTCTGGCTAAGCACTGAGCTGTCGCAGCTGCCTCAGGCCCTTCTCCAAACTCTTTTCTTCCTCCAGGCCTGGCTGGATACTCACAACCGCCTCTTGGGCCACTATATCAATGGGATGTGGCTGAAGCCAGAACACAGGAATCCAGTGCCTTGCCAGGATCCTATCACAGGTTTTTGATGAACCCTGTCATTCGGGTAGGACAAAGGCCTCTCGCAGAGTTGCAGCCACACACATACCCAGCAACCTGTACTCAAGCTCCTGAGAGCAAGAGCAGCCATTGATGGTGGTCGTGGGAATAAGGGTTCTCATCTCTCCTAGTGACAGTCTCACTAATTGTAGTTCCTAATGCACCCCTAAAAAAGCTCTTTGAAGCCCCTCTCTGTTAAATTTCCTTCCTCAAGCAAATTGTGGTGGCTCATACCTCTAGTTTGGGCAATCCAGAAGCTAAAGCAGGAAGACCATGTGTTTGAAGCCAGCCTGAACTATAGAGTGAGTTCCAGACCAGCCTTGGCTTCATAGTGAGGCACTTAAAAAAAAAGAAGAAGAAGAAAAAGAAGGCAGCTCTGTGGTTAAGTGTTAATGATCTTTCAGAAGACCCAGGGTCACGTCAGGCAGCTCACAACCACCTGCAACTCCAGCTCCAGGTGATCCTATGCCATCTCCTGGTCTCTAGGAGAACCTGCACTAAAGTGCTCACACCACACAGACACACATAATTCAAAATAAATTTAAAAGGCTGAGTGGCAGTAACACATACCTTTAATCCTAGTACTCCAGATACAGAGGTAGGCAGATCTCTGAGTTCAAGGCCAGCCTGTTTTACAGAGTGAGTTCCAAGACAGCCAATGCTACACAAAGAAACCCTGTCTCAAAAAGATAAATAAATAATAAATTTAAAAGACACAGTAAGAGAGGGACTAGAGAGATGGCCCAGTGGCTAAGAACATTGACTGCTTCTGTCGAAGGACCTGGGTTCAGTTCTCAGCATCTACATGGTGACTCACAACCATCAGTAACTCTGGTTCCAGAGGATCTGACACCTGACCCCTATGGGCACTGCATATATTATGTACATACACACGTGCAGGCAAAGCACTCATACACATAATAAATCCAAATAAATAAATGAACACTTAAAACTCCAATGAAAAGGGAAGAAGGAAAAGAAAGTTGGTTCCTGGCCTCTGGGACGCGGTGAGCGCAGTGACCAGGGAGTGGCTGGAGAAGGAAGGGCTGACCTCTCGGCCTCACTGGTCACCACGGGCTTCCCAATCCGTCCCCCACTGATTCGCAGGAGAAACCCTGGCCAGCTGCCTGCAAGCACAGGCTGAGGACGTCGCTGCAGCTGTGGATGCAGCAAGGACAGCCTTTCAGACCTGGAGCCAACTGCCTGGAGCTACTCGAGCCGAACACCTAACCCGGTGAGGGAACCAGGGACTCCATCTCCAGAGAGCCTTTTGTTTTAATGGCTCGTGTTTCCCGCATGCACGTGGGGCTTTAGTGGCCAGAATAGCTGTTGTTTCTCACGGTTCACAGTGTCACATCGTAGGGGCTTGGTTTCTCAGCGCTCCATCAGAATCCAAGCTCCCTGCTTCCCATCACACTTTAGGGACAGCTATAAAGATCCCATTTCCCATAATGCAATTGGATCAGAGACTCAGGTTCAAGTTCCCAGTATCTTTGGGACTGGTTGATAATTGGGGACCAGGACCATTCTATAGTTCCTCCCCTCCCCCAGAGTTTTGAAACTCCCCTAGTTTACATTTCCTATACAGCTTTGGTACCTGCTGTCCCTGATACATTATGGCTCTGCCCTTATATTTTCCAAAGGTTGGCCAAGATTATCCAGAAGCACCAGCAACTGCTGTGGACTCTGGAGTCCCTGGTCACTGGGCGGGCTGTTCGAGAAGTTCGCGATGGAGATGTCCCACTGGCCCAGCAACTGCTGCAGTACCATGCAGTCCAGGCCCATGCCCAGGAGAAGGCACTGGCAGGCTGGGAGCCTATGGGTGAGAACTTGTAGACCCCAGAGCCCTCCCGATCCAGTAAACCAACCTGTCCATCCCTCATTATGGATTTTTTGCAGGAGTCATTGGCCTCATCCTGCCAACTTCTTTCTGTTTCCTGGACATGATGTGGCGAGTCTGCCCTGCTCTGGCTATGGGTAGGTGAGGGCTGTGTCCTCCCCATCCCCTTTTGGGGTCTGAGGGAGGAGGGCTGACACCTGGACCCTGACTGTGCGAGAAGAAAGAGCCAGAGACTGGGCTGCAGGATTCCTCAGTTGTTTTCCTTCCCCAGGCTGTACTGTGGTGGTCCTTGTGCCCCCAGCCTTCCCGACACCGCTCCTCCTGGCTCAGCTGGCAGGGGAGCTCGGCTCTTTCCCAGGGATCCTCAATGTGGTATGTGGCCCTGCCTCACTAGGGCCTGTTCTGGCCTCCCAACCTGGAGTCCAGAAGGTGGCCTTCTGCGGAGCTGTGGAGGTATCTAAAGGGCTGGGAGTGGGCTGGGCATGGCAGAGGGCCAAGAGGCTCCTGCCGCACCTGAAACCCGTGGGCCTCCCTCAGGAAGGACGCGCCCTTCGACGGAGCCTAGCAGGCAAGGGTCCCCAGCTGGGCCTGGCCCTTGGCACAGAGTCCCTGTTGCTGCTGCTGGACTCAGCAGATGTGGACTCGGCTGTGGAAGGTGTGGTGGATGCCATCTGGTCAGACCGCAGCCTGGTGAGACCTGTGTGCTCGTCCTCAGATCCAGGGATCCGCCATATCGCTCCAAATACTTGGAGTGTTCACTCCCAACTTGTTTTACTTTCCGCTCTTTGGACCTTTGTATTATTTAAATCAGGGACTTATGTAGCCCAAGCTGGCTTCCAACTCATTATGTAGTCCCGCCTAGCCTTGAACTTCTAATCCTCCTGGGATTACCCGTTGTGCCATCAACTTTGTACACTGCACCCCTTGTCTACGGCTGCTCCTCCGTCCCTAAGGCCCAGCCTCTGTGGGAGCCTGTTCTCCCTACATTGCCCCTGACTTTGCTTGCTTCTGATGTACTTTTTCCAACAGGGGGGCCTCAGGCTCCTCATCCAGGAATCTGTATGGGATGAAACTTTAAAACGACTCCAGGCTAGGATGGCAAAGCTACGGAGTAGACGAGGACTGGATGGGGCTGTAGACATGGGGGCTCGAGGAACTGCTGCCCGAGACCTGGCCCAGAGCTTTGTGGATGAAGCCCAAAGCCAGGGTGGACAGGTAAGCCTCGATCACAAAATGGAGTCTTAGAGCTTGGCTACCTATCCCTGTTTGAGAGTCAGAAACTGCTGCTTCCGGACAAGCCCAAAACCCCTGAGTTTGAGAGAGAGCTAAGGCCTAGACTCCTGAGTCTGAGGGGGGAGACTGGAGCCTGGATACCTAAGTTCAGAGAGGAGAGCTAAAGCCTGGAGGTTTAGGGAGGAGGGTTGATGTACAGTCAGGTCTAGGGAGGACAGGCATCTGTATCTGTATCTTTCTCCTCCTTCCCAGGTATTCCAGGCTGGTGATGTACCCTCCAATAGCCCATTCTTCTCTCCATCCTTAGTTTCTGGCCTGCCTCCAGCTGCCCCATGTGCCCAGGCTGAGGTGAGACCTCTGAGATTGTAGATATCTTTCCCTGCCCTTCTGTTCTGAGTTACTCATGGGCAACACTATACCTTAGGATGATTCTGAGTTACCCTGTGACCTGGGGCTGTGAACACACTAGACCGTGACTAGACTGCTCCCCAAATGGGTGAAGTATTAACAGGAGGGGCTTGTTCCCAGCGAAGCCCCTGACACCCCTTCTAGGTTCCGTGGCCTGTGGTTGTGGCTTCCCCTTTCCGCACAGCCAAGGAGGCACTAGCCCTAGCCAATGGAACACCACGGGGAGGCAGTGCCAGTGTGTGGAGTGAGAGGCTAGGGCAGGCCCTGGAGCTGGCCTACGGGTAAGTCGGTGCTTTCCCCCTCTGCCACTGCCCTATCCCCCCTCAGGTATCTCCCTCTCCTCTGCCCCAGCTTCCTGTCCCCTGCCCCTCCCACCCCCTGGTGTCTTTACCTGCCTCACAGGCTCAAGATGGGCACCGTGTGGATCAATGCCCACGGCCTCCGAGACCCCGCTGTGCCCATAGGCGGCTGCAAAGAGAGCGGATCTTCCTGGCATGGGGGCCCAGATGTGAGTGCTCACCTTTCGCATTTGTATCTCTGGACACCCTTGAGTCTCCTTGTGACCATGCATCTCTCACAGGGTCTGTTCGAGTATCTGTGGCCCTTGGGGACACCTTCCTTGGAGCCCTTCCTTTGCGAGAGTCTCAACTATGACACATTTGGCCTTGCTGTGCCCTCCAAACTGCCGTCAGAGCCAGAAACAGAGCCCAGGTGAGCTGTTGCAGACCTGGTAGTCTAAGGGTGAGGGTGAAGAAGCTGGAGAGGGCACTTAGGGTCTCCAGTTCTGAGTGTAGCTTTCTGGGTCTTAGGACCTCATAGTCCTAACCTTAGGTCTGGAGAATCTCAGGTCTACTTAATGGTTTGAGCTTTCCCAGAAGCAAGAATCTAGGGGTACCTTGATGCACATAGGAATTTGAGTGTCCTAGAGGCTCGTTACAGTAAGAGTTTTGGATGGATGACCACAGAAGCTCATGGGATAGGAATTCAGAATCCTCCAGAGGTTCATGAGAATAAAAATTTGAGTCCAAAAGGTTCATGGGAACTGAAATGATCCAGCCAATATAATGGAGCATGGGATCTAAGTGGACCCAACACCTCCTACCCCTCACTCTGTGCAGCCCAGCACTTGCCTATGGGCTGTTCATTGGAGGCCGTTTCCAGGCTCCTGGGGCCCGGCGCTCCAGGCCTGTCCAGGATTCTTCAGGCAAACTGTATAGCTGTGTGGCTGAGGGTGGAGCCAAGGACGTCCAAGGTGCTGTAGAAGCTGCTCACCAGGCTGCCCCTGGGTAAGAGGGTCCAACAGAAGCCCAGAGGTCAGGGCTCCTGGGATGGGAGCCCTGGGTGGGCTGTGGATAAAGGTGGCTGTCTGGGAATAGCTGGGGCCAGGCTATACCCCTTCCATATCTTGCATTGTTTGCCCACAGCTGGGGGGCCCAGTCTCCAGGGGCCCGAGCAGTCCTGCTGTGTGCCCTGGCGGCTGCACTGGAGCGTAAGAAGCCAGCCTTGGCCTCCCAGCTGGAGAGCCACGGAGCAGCGCCTGTGGTCGCCAAGACTGAAGTAGAGCTGAGTGTGAGGCGACTCCAGATCTGGAGCACGCGGGTTCAGGACCAAGGCCAGACACTACAGGTCAGACAGTGAGCAAGTGGCCCCAGAAATTCTAGAAAATACAACTAACCTTGATGAGAGGCGCAACAGATCAGTGCTTGGCTAAGAACCCAGAGGGCTCAGACAGGGCAGGAGGGGAAGGTTACATACAATACTTACAGGAAAGCAGGGTGTTCGTGAGTATACACATTGTCAGAACTTCTCAGGTTATGCCATTTAACATCTGTGGAATGTAGGCTCGCTTATATACAAGAAGACTTTTGTAAACATGCAAGTAGTGCAGGCCTGGAATCTCAGCATTTGGAAGATAGAGGCAGACAGATAGATCATCCTTGGCCACATAGTGAAATTCTTTGTCAACGGGGGGGGGGGGGGGGGGCAGGGCTGGAGAGATGACTCAGCCATTAAGAACACTGGTTGTTCTTCCAGAGGACCCAGGTTCAATTCCCAGCACCCACATGGCAGCTCACGACTGTCTGTAACCCTAGTTCCAGGGTACCTGACACCCTCCTACAGACATGCATGCAGGCAAAACACCAGGTACATTAAAACAAAATCCTTTGGCTCATTCATTTCAAAAGAGAGAGAGATGGGGCCACAGTTAAGAGCTCTTCCTGCTCTTACAGAGAGCATGGGTTTGATTTCAGCACCCAAATCGTGATGCCCACAGCCTCCTGTGACTACCTAGCTCCAGGGGAATTTTACTCCCCTTCCAACACTCACATAACATGCACATAACTGTGTCTCCCCACCTCCCCCACACACATAGACACATAACTCAATAAATCAAGCCAGTACTCGGGAGGCAGAGGCAGACAGATGTTCCAGTTCAAGGTCAGTAGGCTGTACAGAGAAACCCTGTCTCAAAATGTCAAAATAATTTAAGTAAATAATACATAAATCAAGCAGAAGGGGGTTGCGCCCTTGTTTGTTTATTTGTTTTATTTTTCGAGACAGGGCTTCTCTGTGTTGCCCTGGGTGTCCTGAAACTCACAATGTTGGTTTTATTTTGTTTTGTTTTGTTTTTGTTTCCAAGACAGGATTTCTCCGTAGCTTTGGAACCTGTCCTGAAACTAGCTCTTGTAGACCAGACTGGCCTCAAACTCATAGAGATCCACCTGCCTCTGCCTCCTGAGTGCTGGCATGTGCCAGCATGTGCCACCACCACCCAGCCTGAAACTTACTCTGTAGACCAGGTTGACCTCAAACTCAGAAATCCTCCTGCCTCTTAAATGCTGGGGTTAAAGGTGTGTGCCACCCCCACCCACCCACCCAGTGCACATTTTTAGTCCCAGCACTCAGGAGGCAGAGGCAAGATCTCTGAGTGCAAGGCCAGACTGTTCTACAGAGGGAGACCTATCTCAAAACAAAACAGAAAACAAACCAGACACAGATAAGGATTAGAGTTCAATGATAGAATACTTGCCTAGCCCTAGCATGCTTGGAACCCTCTACAGTACCACAAAACACACTGAAAAATCTCAGCTACTCCATAGACTGAGGCAGGAGCATGGCAAATTGAAGGCAAGATACAAAGGCCCAGAGAGGTTTAACTCATTCAGATCCATATAGCCAACAAGTGGCCACTGAACTCCACTTTAGGGAAAAACTCCAGGGTTTTTCCCTAAACCAGCACCCCCTAGACACTTTTTTGGAGTTGCTCTGAAGATAAGAACATGTCATATGTGGAGAAGGGAGAAGGGGGCAGGCAATGGAGAAGGCTCTGGAAACTTGTCCTTGATGTGACGTCTGTCCCTGTAGGTAACAGGGTTGAGAGGCCCTGTGCTCCGGCTTCGAGAGCCCCTGGGAGTGCTGGCTGTGGTGTGTCCAGAGGAGTGGCCTCTGCTGGCCTTTGTGTCACTGCTGGCCCCCGCCCTGGCCCGCGGCAACGCTGTGATCTTAGTACCCAGTAGGGCTTGTCCTCTTCCAGCCCTGGAGGTCTGTCAGGTAAAATCCTCTGCCCCCCTCCTGTCTATGGCTGCTCCTAGGTCTTCTGGAGCTCAGCTGGCCTCCTCCGTCCTGGTAGCCATGGTAACTTGAGTCTCAGCACCCCGGGGATCCAAGCCTCTATCACCCAAATCCTATTCCCTATAGGAGCTCCTATAGCCACTCCCAGCTGCCCACTCCTCACCTGCCCTATTGCTGCTCGACCCCTGGGCATCTTACTCTCTCACATCCTAGGATATAGCCACCCTGTTTCCTGCTGGCCTTGTGAACGTACTGACAGGAGATCAGGACCACCTGACCCGCTGCCTGGCCTTCCATCAGGACGTCCAGGCCCTGTGGTACTTCGGTTCTGCTCAGGTACTTTAGAGTCCTTGGTGGTGGTGGTGGTTTTTTCAAGACAGGGTTTCTCTGAAGCCCTGACTGTCGTAGAACTCACAATGTGGACCAGGTTGGCCTTGAACTCACAGAAATCCACCTGCCTCTGCCTCCTGAGTATTGGGATTAAAGGCATGCGCCACCACTGCCTGAAGGAAGAGGGTCTTCTTCATTTAAGGGCCTAAATGCCTCCCCTGCCCAAAGACATCTTTTTAGAAGACCTATTGCTAAGGACTGCATCCTAGCAATATCCTGAGTCTACCCTCCTAAACCATCTGTTGGTGGAAGGGAAGTCCCCATTGGCAAAAGCCTTGAGCAGGAGCACTAGGGAAGACGGGGATTCCCTGGCTCTACTTCCTCTGCATCTGGAAGGAATGCTGGCTAGGATCCGAATGTCCAGCCTTGTCAGGCACTTAGGTCCTCAGGCACAAGTCCTCGTTGCTAAGGAAGCAGCTGTTCAGCAACTAAGCTACTGGCAGTACTAATCACATGTTTCCCCATCCTAGGGCTCCCAGTTTGTGGAATGGGCCTCTGCAGGAAACCTCAAGTCTGTGTGGGTGAATAGGGGCTTCCCAAGGGCCTGGGATAAGGAGGTCGAGGGGGCAGGACTCGAGCTGAGTCTGCGTGCAGCGCGAACCAAGGCCCTGTGGCTGCCAATGGGGGACTGATGCCTGAAGCTACCCACTCACTCTTGCATGCCCAGAGGTACCAGATGCTTGGAATTTTTCTCTCAAATTTCCCATGGTTTCCAATAAACTGAGTAACTTCTACTGCTCTTGAGAGTGCGGGAACAGTGGCTTCTTCGTGTGTGGCCCAGTAGACAGCCCTGGGGCAACACTGTTTATGGGATGGATAAAGGGAACTCAGCCCCGTCCAGCACTCTGGGTCATGAGGAGTTAGAGGGAAGTCCCTGGAAGGCTCGAGCCCCTTTTATGCTTGGCACCAGAGGTGGGTGGGCTGCAGGGCCGCCTCCTTTCCAATAGTCCTCTTTCTGAACTGGAAGATCTGTATCCCAGCACATCCCAAGGGGAATGAGATCTGCCTGTGCCAGCCAGAGCCAGGGGCCATCTGTACTGGGCCAGGTAGTGGGGGCACAGCTGCCAGGCAGGACCTGGCTTCCTGGATCCTAGACTGTGACTAGGTGTTTGCTCTCTCAACAAATCCCCATGGGTTTGGCTGTAGTTAGACTTGTGCTTTTGTTTGGTTTTTCCCCATCTGGTCATTTTCAGCAAGGCCTCAAGGTATAGCTCAGCAAGTCTGTACATCCGATCCTCATGCCTCAGCCGGAGCCGGGTCACAGACGTGTGCCTCAAGCCTGAGTGCTGGCTTTCGAAGGAAAGCACTAAAGTTGTTTTGAAACAGGGTCTCACTATGGAGTCCTGCCTGACCTGGAACTCTGTGTGTGTGTGTGTGTGTGTGTGTGTGCGCGTGTGCGCGCGTGTACGCACACACAAAAGTCAGGAAACAACTTATGGGCATCAATTCTCCACCCCCATGTTAGTTCAAGGGATCACACCAGGTATTCATGCTTGGCAGTCATAACCAGTATCATTTTATCAGCTGGGCCATCTCACCAGCCCCTGGTCTGGAATTCTTGTGAGCCTCCTGATTTGCCTCCTAAGTGCTGGGATTATATATGTGTGTGGACGTGCCCACCCTGTTTTTCCTTAACTTTCTCTGCCAAGCCTTTTTACAGTCATAAAACAAGAAACATGATTAGGTACAGAGTCTCCGAGCTCACCGAGGCTGAATATGATGGCCATAGGAAAGAGAAGTTGGAAGACTGTCAGGATGGCCTAGGTGTTGCAGTAACCCTGTATCTGGGCTGCAGCCAACTGATTGACTTGCTGCATGCTGTCAAGGCATGCTCGCTTGCTCTCTGTTCCTTTTCTTCTCCTTTCTCTATCATCGTTGCCTGGGGGACCGGGCAGATGGAGGCTATCTTAATCCATTTTTGTTTGTTTGTTTTGTTTTGTTTTTTTGTTTTTTTTGAATGGAGCCTGTCCTGGAACTCGCTCTGTTGCAGGATCCACTGGTACAAAGTCAGCTAGGGTCCTGGATTGGGGAGACGCTAAGGCTAAGGAAATATCCGGTGAAAGGAACTGAGACAGAAACACAGGATAGAATCGGGAGGTCTGTTTGGTCATGCCAAAACCGCCAAACAGCCCAGAGTTTATTCCGGACTGGCTTATAAGCAAAGGCAGAAAATTGCACAGCACAGCACAGTCAGTATCTAAGCACAAGACCATTCTTGTCCTTGAGTGAGCAGCCTCCTCTCTAGCAGGTTCTTGCTGCTCAGAAGCAGCCTTACCTTATATCCTGATGTTCCTGAGGTTTGTGTCAGCCGTATTCTTTATAGTAGATAGAATATTCTTTTCTCATGGGCTAAACCAGTAGTCTCACAGCCCTCAGGATTATTGTAAAAAGCAGCCAGGTGGTGGTGGTGCATGCCTTTAATCCCAGCACTCAGGAGGCAGAGGCAGGAGAATCTCTGTGAGTTCAAGGCCAGCCTGGTTTACAGAGCTAGTTCCAGGACAGGCTCCAAAGCTAGAGAAACCCTGACTCAAAAAAAAAAAAAAAAAAAGATTATTGTGAAAAGCAGAGCAGACAAGTGTGAACTCAAATGACTTATAAGTCAGAATCGACTCCAGATGGAAAATGAGTCACACATGGACTCCCACACTCTGTAGACAAGGCTGGCCTCAAACTCACAGAGATCCACGCATCACTGCCTCCTGACTGCAGGGATTAAAGGTGTGCACCACCGCCCAGCTGACTGTATGTGTCTTAATTAGGGCTACTTTTGCTATAACACCATGCCCAAAAGCAACTTGGGAGAGAAAGGGTGTATTCAGTTAACACATTCCAAATCAAAGTTCACTGAAGAAAGCCAAGGTAGGAACTGATGCAAGGGCCATGGAAGAGCGCTCACTGCCTTGCTCCGCTTTGCTCAGCCTGCCTTCTGATAGCACCCAGAGCACCAGGCAGGGTTAGCACCCCTCACTGCAGCTTGTGCTCTCCCGCTCACAGGCTTGCCTGCAGCCAGATCTTATGGAGACAGTTTGACAATTGAGTTTCCCTCTGCTCCCATGACTATAGCTTACATTAGGGGATCTCTAGAGTTCCAGGACAGTAAAGGCTACACAGAGAAGCCCAACAAAACCCAGCCAGCACAGTATTTTCTTTATTATGTAAGTGGACATGGGCACATGAGGCCAGAAGAGTGTTGGGTGCCATGGAGCTGCACCCACCGTGGGACTGGACTCAGATCCTGTATGTGATTTTAGTCTGAGTCATCTTTCCAGTCCCATGTTTTAAAGTTTTCTGAGACAGAGTCTTGCTGGGAGTGGTAAGCACAGACCCTTAATCCCAGAGGCAGGGCAAGAGGGTCCCCTTGAGTTTGAACGCAGCCTTTTCTATCTTGTTCCATGCCAGAGCTACATAGTGTGCGTAGTAAGGGTGTTGTGGGGATTCATTCAGCCAGCAGCCTTTGAGTGCCAGCCTATTAGGATGTGGTCTGAGGTATCAGTGCAGACAAAAAAAAACCATGCTTGCTCTCTCTTAGCTGATGGTCTGGATTCTGTTAGCAGCTTCCAGCGCCCGCAGAGCAAAGGACCACAGCAACTTACTTACCGCGAGTGTCCCCAGTAAATATTTGTTCTCTCTTATTCTGGGTTCTCGTGAACTTCCGTAACTACTACATAAGACTCTCAAAGAGAGAGCTTGACTAACCCTGGCTGAATTGGAACTCACTGTGTAGCCTAAGCTGTTCCAGAACTTACTGTGATCCTCCTGCCTCAGCCTTCAAGTGCTGAAATACCAAGTCCAATGTATTACTGTATTTAAGCTCCAGCTAGAGATGCCAACAATGTGAATGTGGGGTTCAGTTTCCAACACACGAGAAAGTTAAGGCGACACAGCCACAATGCAGGCCCACTCCCCCACATCCATTCCCAAGCCTGACGGCCTTCACCATGAAGAACCTTCACTTTTCACTCTGAGGTCATTGGCCAAAGAAAGACATTCAAACATGCCAGAGTTCCCAGGAGGGACCTTAGAGCTGCAGACCATCTACCTCGGGCAGGTGGACCAAGGAAGATACAGAAAACTCTACAGGGTTTGAGGTGTAGGCCAGCAATAGAGCTCCTGCCTAATATCCCCCAGTAGGGGGCTGGGACAGGGTTCAACAGCAGAGCCCTGCCCAGCATGTATGAGCCCTGGGGCTGGGACACGGTTCAACAGCAGAGCCCTGCCCAGCATGTATGAGCCCTGGGGCTGGGACATGGTTCAACAGCAGAGCCCTGCCCAGCATGT